CCAAAGCACTTCTCAGGTTCAAAGCTGGGTGTAAAGGCAACAAGAGAGGGGCCGAGGCAGGGGAAGGGGGGCTGGGGGGGCAGCTTTGCCCCCTCTCCGAGTCCAAAATCTTCGTGCAAAGCCCCCTGTCCTCCCCAGGGCACCCCCCGACAGGCGTTTTGGAGGGGGGGGCACAGGCAAAGGGAGCAACAACTGCCCTGCAAAAAGGGCGAGAATTGCCCAAAAACCACCCCAGACCCCGGCTGGGGGGTGCCAGCACCGGGTCACTGGTTGTCCCCCGGTTGGTACTGGGGCTCGGTGGCGGTGAAGTAGTCCTCGAGGAAGGACTGGAGGTACTCGAAGGTGGGACGCTCCTCAGGCTCCCGCTTCCAGCACTGCACCATCACTTCGTGCAGGGACGGGGGGCAGTTGCCCGGGCACTGCATGCGGTACCCCCGCTCTACTTGCTCCAGCACCTCCCGGTTGTTCATCCCTGTGTGACAAGGACCACTCCTCTCAGCAACCAGCAACCCCACGGGACAAGCCAGTGGGGAAACTGAGGCACGCCAAGGGACACAGTGGCATTGCCCTGTGGTTTGAATAGGGAGCCCAGCTTAGCGCTGGTCTCTCTGATGGGGAAACTGAGGCACAGAGCAAGCCTTGCCGGTGGCAGTGCTGGGGAGGGTCAGCCCCTGCCCTGTCCGTACCCTGCTGCCCAGCCTGCCCCAAGGGTGCCCGCTGCCCCGGTGGGGCTGTACCTGGGTAGGGCACCCGGCCTTTGGTCACCAGCTCAGTCAGGAGGATGCCAAAGGACCAGACGTCCGACTTGATGGTGAACTTCCCAAAAAGCGCGGCCTCTGGGGCTGTCCACTTGATGGGGAACTTGGCACCTGCAAGGGGAGGCAGGTCAGCCATGGCTGGGGCACCCCACTGCACCCGAACCCCAGGTACCCCACACCTGGGGCACCCAGCACCAGCGACACCCCACACCTGGGACATCTTGCACCAGAGGCACCCTGCACTGAGGCTGTCCTGCACTCAGGGGCACCCTGCACCCGGGTACCCATCAGCTTGGGCACCCATCCCCTGGGACACCCATCAGCCGGGGTACCCATCATCCGGGGTTTCCATCACCCAGGATACCCATTCCCTGGGGTACCCATCACCTGGGGCACCCATCACCTGGGGCACCCATCACCCAAGACACCCAGAATTGGAGATGACCACCCCCAGGCCCAGGGTGGGATGCAGCACAGAGGGGACAGGGCAGCGATCCCCAAAAGAGCGGGGCACCAAATTGGCTCACCCTGGCGCGCTGTGTACTCGTTGTCCTCGATGAGGCGAGCGAGGCCGAAGTCAGCGATCTTGCACACCAGGTTGTCTCCCACCAGGATGTTGGCAGCGCGGAGGTCCCGGTGGATATAGTTCATCCGCTCAATGTAGGCCATGCCCGCCGCGATCTGGGTGGGGGGAAGCAGTGAGGACCCCTCCGGATGCATCCCCTGGGGGGAACCCCCACCCCGTGCCAGTCTTCCCAGTACCTGGGCAGCCATGTCCACCAGCTGGGGCAGCTTCAGGTAGCGGCCGTCCCCATCCTTTAGGAAATCCAGCAAGCTGCCTGCAAGGCAGAGGGTGCCAGTCAAAGCGTCCAAGAAGCAGCCGTGCCCACCCAAGGGTGCCCTCCCCTGCAAGCCCCCAGCCCGGGGACCAGCTCCCTGCCCACCCCAGCTGTGCCCAGGCAGGGTGAGGTTTGCGGAAGATCGGGGGGAAGAAAAACTGGGGGAAGAAAAAACTGGGGGGGTGCCTCGGGCAGTGCCCCCCACTCACCCTGGCTCATGAACTCCGTGACGATGTAGATGGGCTCCTCCGACACGACGGCGTAGAGCTGCACCAGCTTGTCGTGCCGCAGCCGCTTCATGATCTGCGCCTCCTCCAGGAAGGCCTCCGGTGACATGGTGCCCGGCTTCAGCGTCTTCACCGCCACCTTCGTCGTGCCGTTCCACGTGCCTGGGCCGGGGACACGGGGTCACCGCGAGCCCAGGGGACAGCCGGCCCCGGCAGGGCCGGGATGGAGGGGTACGTGGATGGAGGGATGCATGGATGGAGGGATGCATGGGTGCATGCTTGCATGGATGGATGATGGATGGAGGGAGGGAGGGATGCATGGATGGAGGAGCAAGGAAATCAGGGCAGGGCAAGGAAGGGGCATGATACCACCAGACCCCACCCAGGACAAGGAGTCCCCCTCACCCCACGGCATGAGGACAGGGCACCTGTGAGCTCATCTCCTAATACCAACCTTACCCCATACCCCAACCCTCCACAGGGGAGCCTGTGCCAAGCTGCCATCTCCCCCACAGCAGTGGGTACCGCCTGGCATCCCGTGATGCTGCCTGCCAGGGCAGGACCGGACTGCTCCTGCCCCCCCGTGCCCCCCCCCCCCCCCCCCC